TATATATATATATTACTACATTGCCAAAAGTATTTGCTCACCTGCCTTGACTCACATATGTGCTTAAGTGACATCCCATTCCTAACCCATAGGGTTCAATATGACGTTGGTCCACCCTTTGCAGCTTGAACAGCTTCATCTCTTCTGGGAAGCTGTCCACAGGTTCAGGAGTGTGTTTATGGGGATTTTTGACCATTCTTCCAGAAGTGCATTTGTGATGTTGGACGATGTTGGGCGAGAAGGCCTGGTCCTCAGTCTCCCCTCTAATTCATCCTAAAGGTGTTCTATCAGGTTCAGGTCAGGACTCTGTGCAGGCCAGTCAAGTTCTTCCGCACCAGACTCTGCCATCCATGTCTTTATGGACCTTGCTTTGCGCACTGGTGCACAGTCATGTTGGAAGAGGAAGGGGCCAGATCCAAACTGTTCCCACAAAGTTGGGAGCATGGAATTGTCCAAAATGTCTTGGTATGCTGAAGCGGTCAGAGTTCCTTTCACTGGAACTAAGGAGCCAGGCCCAGCTCCTGACAAACAACCCCACACCTTAATCCCCCCTCCACCAAACTTTACTCTTGGCACAATGAGGTCAGACAAGTACCGTTCTCCTGGCAACCAGCCAAACCCAGACTCATCCATCAGATTGCCAGATGGAGAAGCGTGATTCGTCACTTCAGAGAACATGCCTCCACTGCTCTAGAGTCCAGTGGCGGTGTGTTTTACATCACTGCATCAGACACTTTGCATTGCACTTGGTGATGCATGGCTTGGATGCAGCTGCTCAACCATGGAAACCCAATCCATGAAGCTCTCTGCGCACTGTTCTTCAGCTAATCTGAAGGCCACATGAAGTTTGGAGGTCTCTAGTGATTGACTCTGCAGAAAGTTGGCAACCTCTTGGAGCTTCAGCATCCACTGACCCCACCCCGTCAGTTTACGTGGCCTACCACTTGGTGGCTGAGTTGCTGTCATTCCCAAACACTTCCATTTTCTTATTATACAGCTGACAGTTGACTGTGGAATATTTAGGAGCGAGGAAATTCCACGACTGGATTTGTTGCATAGGTGGCATCATATCATTTTCACGGTGGAATTCACTGAGCTCCCGAGAGCGACCCATTCTTTCACAAATGTTTGTAAAAACAGTCTGCATGCCTAGGTGCTTCATTTTATACACCTGGGGCCATGGAATATCTTATTGTTCCATATTTTCCTAACAGAGCACTTCGCTCTCAAGCTGAAGGTTTACTTGTGGTTCCTAGAGTTTACAAAACCAGAATGGGAGGAAGATGTTTCAGTTATCAGGCTCCTCTCTTGTGGAACCAACTTCCAATCTCTGTCCGTGACGCTGACACATTATCCAGTTTTAAAACTAGGCTTAAGACTTTCCTTTTTGCTAAATCCTATAGTTAGGGTTGGCTTGGGTTTCCTGAGCTGTCCCTTAGTTATGCTGCTATAGGCTTAGACTGCTGGAGGACAAACTAACCACACTTTTCACTCTGCTACTGTCTTTACTTACTCTACTCAACCTGTTTTGTATTTGTAATTATTTTTTCTATCAATAACGTGTTTTTTGTCTTTCAGGTACAACTAGACCTGTATCTGGACCTACCATTCTGTGTTCGTCTGTCTCTCCTTCCTGTCCTCTCAAACCAGCCGGTCAAAGCAGATGGACGCTTGTCCTGAGCCTGGTTCTGCTGGAGGTTTCTTCCTTTTAAAAAGGGAGTTCTTCCTTTCCACTGTTGCCACTGTGCTTGCTCAGGATGGGAGACTGCAACTAAGCCAAGATTCAACTTGTCTGCTGGATTCCTTAGATAGAGAACTTTACTAATTGGATTTTATGTTTGTGAATGTTCCTGTACAGTGCCCTGAGACAACTTTGTTGTGATTTGTCGCTATATAAATAAACTGAATTGAATTGAAAATGGAAGTGATTGGAACACCTGATTCTGATAATTTGGATGGGTGAGCAAATACTTTTGGCAATGCATTATATAAAATCGTTAGCGCTTTTTAGGACATGCAATTTATGCAACAACATTCACAGTTTACCTGGTTACACTCAGTGACTTAAAACAAGTTTAATTAGATTATTAAAAAGCATTAAAGCACTTTTTAACTGTGGAGCAACACCGTCTGGTTAACTTTGTGTAGATATGAATCTAAGCCTTAATCATAAGGATTATAATGTTCTGTTTGTTACATTTTTTTAATTAAAAAAGTTAATTAAATTCTAATCATTTTTAATTATGCAAATAATGACCCCATTAACCATTTAATTTCCTTTTAGTTTTATGATAACTAAAAATGAGTACAGTATATTCACAAATATATTTTCATACACCACTGCTTTTGTAACCTAAAGCATTTTCAGATAAAACATATAAATTGAATGTGAGTGTTAGCTTAGTCGCTCTTTAAATAAAGACATTTTACGGCACATGCTCAGTAACTGTCCACCGTGTTTCCCTGAGGAAACTGTGCACCAGTCAGATATAAACTGCGTATTGCCAATCATCTTTATATCAAGGTTTTAAACAAAACACAAGTGCCTTGCGTGATCGATTAGCTGTTGGAGAATGATTTGGCGATGTCTCTCAGCTACCCAACACTAGCTCAATTCATTTAAAATTGACCACGGTTCCTATGGTTGATTAACTGTGGCAGCCATCTTAAACTGAGTGGACTCCAAATATTAATCAGTTCTCTAAGCAATTATCAATCTTTTAGTTTCATTAAAATCAATCCCCTGGATCTGAAATTATTTTGTTGATTTAGAGACAGACACATGGATGTTCATCTTTCACACCAGCACAGTACAAAACTTATTTAGTTTATACATCATTTGCAGCTTACCAATAAAGTTCCTAAAATGCTGGTAGCACTCGGGCTGTTTCCAGTTGTGGGGCCAGCTGGCCATCACTGTGTTGTGCTTCAGACCTCCAAGTCCTCCAGTCTGGACCAGATGGGACGTCCCGTCTCTCAAGTTGGAGGAGAGGACCACCTGAGAGAAACCTTTCACCTTTTCTGTTTCCATCAGCTTCCGCAACGACTGCAGACACATTAAAGAAATGATGATAAGTCTGGTAGGAGACGAGGAGTTGGACTGAAGTGGACTCTTGTACCTGATCTGCCCTCTGGGATTCAGTGTAATTGTTGAGGAAGGTTCCTTGAACAGAGGTGCCAACGATGGTCAGACCTTTACCTGCTTTTAGCTGACTGGTCAAAGAGAGCAGGCGCGGCTGCTCCACTTTCTGCTCAGCATCCACGCTCACCAGAACCAGAATCTGAGGCCTTAGAAGAAACAAGTCACAACAGTTTGAAAATAATAAAGATCCACAGGCGAAGTCTAATCTGTAGCTATTGCTGATAACATTTCAGATGTCTACATACAAATGTGAAACTCTGAACGAAACTGACCTCCAGTTCTTGGTGTGCGGTGGTCCCTCCTCCAGCCTCATCAGAGCAAATCGTGCAGCGCTGAGCGAAAGGCCTCGTATCCCATCGCCCCACTCTTTCTCAGCTCTGTTTCACAGCACACTTATAGTTATCTCAAGAAGTAATGTAGTTTGCAAATTAGGGATTCACGATATTATCGGCATGGTATCGGTATCGTCCGATATTAGCGTTAAAGTTCAATATCGGACATCGGCCATTCCATCAAAATAACTCACCGATATAAAAGACGCTGTTTTTGTATGACAACCCAGTGACAAGGATGCCTGCAGTGCACAACGTGATGACGATACATGCGACTAGCTGATCTGACCACGGCGGAGAGGAAAATTCAAAATGTCGGCGGCGCAGACATTTTTTTTGTTGTTGTTAAGAATATCGGATTCTGAAGATTTATGGACTATGTTGAGCCTCGCTACATCGTCCCCAGTCAGAGATATTTTTCCGACGTAACGTTACCCGAGTTACAAGCCGTCATTTCTGACGTCATTGAGAAGCTAATAGCCGATAGCACTTGGATGAGTTTTACCACCGACACTTGGACGTTAAGTGTTAGCCCCGTTAGCATGATTAGACTTACGGCACAATGGATGGACAAAACTTTGAACTTAAAAAGTCTGTCCTTCATGCACATGAGTGCAGAGGATCCCACACTGCATCTAGGAACCTGGAACAAGCCTCCACAAGTGAGACAGTATCAGAGGTGACTAATTCTAATAAATAACATTTACCACTTTTCATTTAATATAAGTCAAAGTGCTATGCATATCATATGGCTGTTACTGAATATATGTCACCAGCTCTTACAGCTGTTGTACAATTTTTGTAGTAAATAAGCCTAAATAAGAGGGCTATGTTCTGACAAAGGAAAGTATATAAAATATTGGTATTGGTATAGTTTATTGGCCAAATAAGTTTTAACATATCGGCATATCGGCCAGAAATCCAATATCGTGCATCCCTATTGCAAATAAATCACTTGTGACAAAAAATACAAAGGCATTCATTCACCAATATTAAAAACTCTTGCTGGATGAAGAGTACTGTGATGAGTACTTACCCACAGAACTCTATGTACTTGTAGATGCAGGTGGCAATGCCCATGGCGACAATGGCGTAATACCAGGAACAGATGAACATAAGTGATAGACACAGGCTCATGCCCAGGAAAGACAGAGTCCTGTGGGTGACAGGACATCACATGTTGGTCCAACTGGGACTTCATGCCAAACCAAACACCAGCATTCAAAGGAACAAAACACTACAGATCTCAAACAGGATGATGGACAGACAAGCTTCAGGAACCTATAATGATTTAATGATTCAGGCAGTAAAGTGTTGATGTTATCACATTTATGCTTAAAAAACACATTTAACTCATTACATCCCTAAATCCCCTCCCTGGGCTGCCACCTTACCGTGGTGGAGGGGTTTGAATGTCCCAATGATCCTAGGAGCTATGGTGTCAGGGGCTTTATGCCCCTAGAAGGGTCACCCATGGCAGACAGGTCCTAGGTGAGGGACCAGACAAAGTGCAGCCCAAAGACCCCAATGATGAGAAACACAAATGGACCTAGTGTTCCCTTGCCCGGACGTGGGTCACCGGGGCCCCACTCTGGAGCCAGGCCTGGAGGTGGGGCACGCGGGCGAGCGCCTAGTGGCCGGGCTTTTACCCATGCAGCTCGGCCGAGCACAGCCCGAAAAGGAGACGTGGGTCCCCCTTCCCATGGGCTCACCACCTGTGGGAGGGGCCAAAGGGGTCGGGTGCAATGTGGGATGGGTGGTGGCCGAGGGCGGGGACCCTGGCGGTCTGATCCTCGGCTACAGAAGCTGGTTATTGGGACGTGGAATGTCACCTCACTGGTGGGGAAGGAGCCTGAGCTGGTGTGTGAGGCTGAGAGGTTCCGGCTAGAAATAGTCGGACTCACCTCTACGCATGACTCGGGCTCTGGAACCAGTTTCCTTGAGAGGGGCTGGACACTCTTCCACTCTGGAGTTGCCCCTGGTGAGAGGCGCCGAGCAGGCGTGGGCGTACTTATTGCCCCCCAACTTGGTGCCTGTGTATTGGGGTTCACCCCGGTGAATGAGAGGGTGGCCTCCCTCCGCCTACGTGTGGGGGGACGGGTTCTGACTGTCGTTTGTGCTTATGCACCAAACGTCAGTTCAGATTATCCACCCTTTCTGGAGTCCTTGAAGGGGGTACTGGAAAGTGCACCTTCTGGGGACTCCCTTGTTCTGCTGGGGGACTTCAATGCTCATGTGGACAATGACAGTGAGACCTGGAGGGGTGTGGTTGGGAGGAACGGCCCCCCTGATCTGAACCAGAGTGGTGTTCTGTTGTTGGACTTCTGTGCTCGTCATGGATTGTCAATAACGAACACCTTCAAGCATAAGGGTGTCCATATGTGCTCTTGGCACCAGGACACCCTAGGCCGCAGTTCGATGATCGACTTTGTCATCGTCTCATCTGATCTGCGGCCACATGTCTTGGACACTCGTGTGAAGAGAGGGGCGGAGCTGTCAACTGATCACTACCTGGTGGTGAGTTGGTTCCTATGGTGGGGGAGGATGCCGGTCAGACCTGGCAGACCCAAACGTATTGTGAGGGTTTGCTGGGAACGTCTGGCAGAGTCTCCTGTGAGACGGAGTTTCAACTCCCACCTCCGGGAGAACTTTGAACATGTTCCGAGGGAGGTGGGGGACATTGAGTCTGAGTGGACCATGTTTCGTGCTTCTATTGTCGAGGCGGCTTACCGGAGCTGCGGCCACAAGGTTGTCGGTGCCTGTCGCGGCGGCAACCCTCGAACCCGATGGTGGACACCGTCGGTGAGGGATGCTGTCAGGCTGAAGAAGGAGTCCTATCGGGCCTTTTTGGCCTGTGGTACCCCGGAAGCAGCTGATGGGTACCGGCAGTCCAAGCGACATGCGGCTCGGGTGGTTGCTGAGGCAAAAACTCAGGCATGGGAGGAGTTCGGAGAGACCATGGAGAACGACGTCCGCACGGCTTCGAGACGATTCTGGTCCACCATCCGGCATCTCAGGGGGGGAAAGCGGTACGCCACCAACACTGTTTATAGTGGGAGTGGTGTGCTGCTGACCTCAACTCGGGATGTTGTGGGTCGGTGGGTGGAATACTTTGAAGACCTCCTCAATCCCACCGGCACGTCTTCCACTGAGGAAGCGGAGCCTGGGGACTTTGGGTCTGGCCCTCCAATCTCTGGTGCTGAGGTCACCGAGGTGGTTATAAAGCTCCTCGGTGGCAGGGCCCCAGGGGTGGATGAGATCCGCCCAGAGTTCCTTAAGGCTCTGGATGTTGTAGGGTTGTGTTGGCTTACGCGACTCTGCAATATTGCGTGGACATCGGGGGAAGTTCCCCTGGATTGGCAGACCGGGGTGGTGGTCCCCCTATTCAAAAAGGGGGACCGTAGAATGTGTTCCAACTACAGGGGAATCACGCTCTTAAGCCTCTCTGGTAAGGTCTATTCAGGGGTTCTGGAGAGGAGGGTTCGTCGGATAGTCGAACCTCGGATTCAGGAGGAACAGTGCGGTTTTCGTCCTGGCCGTGGAACACTGGACCAGCTCTATACTCTCAGCAGGGTCCTGGAGGGTGCGTGGGAGTTTGCCCAACCATTGTGCTTTGTGGACTTGGAGAAGGCGTTCGACCGCGTCCCTCGGGGGGCCCTGTGGGTGGTACTCTGGGAGTATGGGGTACCGGGCCCTTTGATACGGGCTGTTAGGTCTCTGTATGACCGGTGTCAGAGCCTGGTCCGCATCGCCGGCAGTAAGTCGGGCTTGTTCCCAGTGAGAGTTGGACTCCGCCAAGGTTGCCCTTTGTCACCGATTCTGTTCATAACTTTTATGGACAGAATGTCTAGGCGCAGCCAAGGTGTTGAGGGGATCCATTTTGGTGGCCTTAGGATTGCGTCTCTGCTTTTTGCAGATGATGTGGTCTTATTGGCTTCATCAGATCGTGATCTACAGCTTTCGCTGGAGCGGTTCGCAGCCGAATGCGATGCGGCCGGGATGAAGATCAGTTCCTCCAAATCCAAGGCCATGGTCTTGAGCCGGAAAAGGGTAGAGTGCCCTCTCCGGGTCAGGGAGGAGGTCCTACCCCAAGTGGAGGAGTTCAAGTATCTTGGGGTCTTGTTCACGAATGAGGGAAAAATGGAGCGTGAGATCGATAGGCGGATAGGTGCAGCGTCTGCAGTGAAGCGGGCGCTGTACAGGTCTGTCGTGGTGAAGAGAGAGCTGAGTCAAAAGGCGAAGCTCTCAATTTACCGATCGATCTACGTTCCCACCCTCATCTATGGTCACGAGCTTTGGGTTGTGACCGAAAGAATGAGATCTCAGATACAAGCAGCCGAAATTAGTTTTCTCCGCAGGGTGTCTGGGCTCTCCCTTAGAGACAGGGCGAGAAGCTCGATCATCCGGGAGGGACTCGGAGTAGAGCCGCTGCTTCTCCACGTCGAGAGGAGCCAGTTGAGGTGGCTTGGGCATCTGTTTAGGATGCCTTCTGGACGCCTCCCTGGTGAGGTGTTCCGGACACGTCCCACCGGAAGGAGGCCCAGAGGAAGACCCAGGACATGCTGGAGGGACTATGTTTCTCGGCTGGCCTGGGAACGCCTCGGGATTCCCCCGGAAGAGCTGGACCAAGTGGCTGGGGAGAGGGAAGTCTGGGCCTCCCTACTTAGGCTTCTACCCCCGCAACCCGACCCCGGATAAGCGGAAGAAAATGGATGGATGGATGGATGGATGGACATTCCTACATGTCAAACATCCCAAATAATAAGTGAAAAACTGTCCAGAGCCTTGAAGACAAGCTACAAATGTCCATAAATGCAGAATGATAAACATAAAGCAAACTTTTGGAGTCACTGAAATGGCTAAACATTTGTTAAGACTGTAAAATGTGACAACTTAGTTTTAAATAAAGGGGACAAATAACGGCGTTAGAGCCGCAGTGGTTGAATCTTGAAAATGTATGCTGCTTCATGCAGTATGTTACAGTCAGAATAGGTGTTGGGGATGACTCTCAGTGACTGCAACATCAAATTTTAACTCTGTATATGTAAAATGAACTATCTTAAATAAATAAAAGACAGTTCACAGTGGAGGGCACGTTGAGGTTGACTCCAGATATTCATCAGATGTATATGTACCTTCAATGATTACATTTTGAGAGTTCCAATAAAATGCATTCAGTGTTTTGTGAGATATTTTGCTAATAATTCAGGTAAATGAACACATACACAAACAGGCAAAAACATAATTGCCAGCCTTTCAATGTTTTTGTGACAGGTCATAAAAAGGCTGGAACATGCTGAATGAATGTTATCACTCATACATGTCTATCGTAAAGAAACCCCCCCAGATCTCACCAGGACAGCTTTAAACACCTCATCTTGCACATCTGATAAGTCAGTGATGAAGTTCAAACTCACCAGTGATAAAACTTAAAGCGCGGCCTCCAGTTAGGAGTCCTCAGCAGAGTCTGCAGCGCGCAGGCAAGGTTAACAAACATGTAGCACATCAAGAAAAACCTAAGACAAAACATCAGAGAAGAAAAATAAAGTGGTGGACATGGTGTCACCTGTTTTGCGAAGAAACTCTGTGAATCTTACATGGACAGGATGGGGGCGACCGAATCCAAGGAGGCGATGATGATGCCAATCTCACAGATGCTAGCTGTGAGCAGGAGAGCCCAGGTGGGCTCCCCGTTGGCTTTACCATGACCAAAGACCTGCAGCAACACAAAAGTACTAAACAAATGTAACCTTCATATACAGTAGTCCCTCACTACTTCACGGCTCGTTTATCACAGACTCACTCTATCGCAGTTTTTAAAAATAAGATTGGACATGACACACAACCGGCTGATTGATGGATGAGTTGCATGATCAGCATGAGATTTTTATTTAAAATTAATTATTTTAAATTATTTAGAACCTGCTGCACATTTGTGCAGCCCACAGCTGCGGAAAAAGCTTCCTCCTGCATTGTTGTGCAGCCCACACTGCATAATAAACTTCCTGCTGCAGCTGATCAGCTGTTCTCTGTGCAGAACGGAGAAGTGGGCGTGGCCAAGAACACTTGCAGGTGGAAAAGAGCAGAGGAGGCAGAGAGCTGAGATCATGACATGCTGTGCTCTTTTAGAGTGTTT